GCCCGGGAGTGACCCTGGGGCCGGCTGTCGCTTTCCCTGGGGACAGAAGCGACAGGAGGGTGACACCGGGGGGTGACCGGAGAGAACCCCCCGTCCCGGGAGGTGACACCGGGGACCGGTGCCACCGGGGAGAGACCCCCCGTGTCCCGTGAGTGACATCGGGGTTGGCTGTCACTCTCCCTGGGGACCGGACTGACACCGGGGGGTGACCGGAGAGACCCCCCTGTCCCGGGAGTGACATCGGGGTTGGCTGTCGTTCTCCCTGGGGACAGGAGCGACGGGACGGTGACACCGGGGGGGTGACCGGAGAGAAACCCCCGTCCCGTGAGTGACATCGGGGTTGGCTGTCACTCTCCCTGGGGACCGGACTGATGGTCGGGAGGGTGACCGGAGTGACCCCCCAGTCCCGGGAGTGACACCGGGGTTGGCTGTCGCTCTCCCGGGGGACCAGCGGACGGGAGGGTGACACCGAGAGGGGACCGGACAGACCCCCCCAGCCCCGGGAGGTGACTTTCCGTGTGTCGCTTTCCCTGGGGACAGGAGCGACGGGACGGTGACACCGGGGGGTGACCGGAGAGACCCCCCTGTCCCGGGAGTGACACCGGGGTTGTCTGTCACTCTCCCTGGGGACCGGACAGACCCCCCAGCCCCGGGAGGTGACACCGGGGTTGGCTGTCGCGCTCCCGGGGGACCAGCGGACGGGAGGGTGACACCGGGAGGGGACCGGACAGACCCCCCTGTCCCGGGAGGTGACTTCCCGTGTGTCGCTCTCCCTGGGGACCGGCCTGACGGACGGGAGAGTGACCGGAGTGACCCCCCCGTCCCGGGAGGTGACACCGGGAGAGACAGGAGGGTGACACCGTGGGGTGACCGGACAGACCCCCCAGCCCCGGGAGGTGACTTTCCGTGTGTCGCTTTCCCTGCGGACCGGACCTACGGACCCCGAGAGACCCCCCCGGTCCGTGAGTGACCCTCGCTGACCCCTCCAAGTGACCGCTCCACCGCTGTCCCCCGCAGSATCCGACCCCATGACCGCCCCCGCGCTCCTCCTGCGCGTCCTGGGGCTGGTGGCTCTGGGCACCGGCGGCTCCCCGGCGACACCGGCGACACCGGAGGACGCGGCGCAGGAGCACGGCTATTACCTGCAGCAGCTCTTCGGCCAGTACGGCTCCAACGGGACGCTGCCGTCCGAGGGGCTGGCGAGGCTGCTGGGCAGTCTGGGGCTGGGCAGGGTGCAGGTGGTCCAAATCCAGCACGACGAGCTGGGCCACGGCCACGTTAGCCACCTGGACCTGCTGGAGGTGCAGGAGGACAAGCACCGGCACCGCCACCCGCTCCGCGAGCACGGGGATGGCACCGC